TATAATAGTACAAAAAAAAAATAATTAAAAAAGTCTAATATCTTCTAAGATATTGAGTGGTCCATAGTTAACCAATCACCCGGTATATCCGAAATGTTTACTTCCGTTTACCGGTCAAATTTACATCCGCTAGCTCTACTTCCGGTATTTGCACAAATTTACTCCTACCCAAAACATCGTACCGCATGATAATTGTATGGTTACTTAAGTCGTCTCTTGTCTTATGATTTTCTGCGAGATAAGTATCCACATAATTTTGATATTTGTCGCCCAGAATATCCAATAATTGAGCCGTAGTAAGAGCAGTTGTAGCATTTTGATTACTACGTACTACAAAATTTTCTATAGACTGAAAAACCTCGTGCGTCCATTGAATCATTATAGGACCATACGTCTAAAAGGTAAGTAAATTAAAACACTATAATTGTTACAATTACAATATACATTTTTCGAATAACTTTTAATATATTTATATTTATATGTTAGCTACGTGATTATTTAGATAACAATTTATTTGAATGATGCACAGCTTTGCTTACAATAACAAAACGTGCTACCCAATTTTAGGTAAAATTAAAAAAAATTACACGCAAGGGGAACTTAATAATATAAATTTACTAGCCATATTTTTAATTAAAAAACAAAAAGAAAATACAGTTTTCACGATGATAAGTAACCGTTTATTCAGTTTGCACGACTCTTACCTCAACCCCATCATCGAGTGGGATTTTGAACGCAGCTATTTGAACAAAGACATCTATAGTAAAACACAAAACCAAAATGTATTTTGTATTCATATTCTGTTTTTTTGTAATCTTTAATACTTTAAAATACGTGTTTAAATTTCAGTTAAAAAGTATATAAGTGATTTTTTTATAGATTAGTAAGTTATATTTATAGGGCATTCTCAGGGGCGGATAGGCATGATCTGACCAGCCCGGGAAAAATAGAATCTAAAGGCCCGCAATATCATATCCAAGATCCAACAAAACCTCTTTTTTTTTTTTGTTAAGAAAAAAAATAAATTATGATTTTACTATATCACAATATAGTGGTATTATTATATTATTTTACTATACCACTATACCAGTGGCGCACTTTGAAATCGAATTATCAAATTTTTTTTCGAAAAAATATTCCAACAGATCACTTAATTGACTATTATTTATAATTGTAGATTTAAATATAGATTTTAGTATTATTGTATTTATTAACTATTTTATTTGTATGTATGTACATTGTACAATATCGTCAATAACAATATTTTTCATCGGCCCATCTTCGTCAATATAAGTAGCGGCCCACCGGGAAAATCCCGGTGTCCCGGTGGGCCTATCCGCCCCTGGGCATTCTCGAAGAGCAACATACTAATAGTTTATCATACAACAGTATGTTTTTAAGAGTTTTAGTTTGCTTTAGAATGCTTTTGCTATTTTGTAAACAATACTTTGGCGTAAAGTAAAGTAATACATATTTTTATGCCGAAGAATTGTTTTGATAAAAAACATGTTTTACTATAATAACATATTTTTTGGCTGTAAATAGTAGAACATTTTTCTTCAAAATAATAATATCAAAATACATTGGTATGTCAACTGTTTATGAAGATAATTATCAAGCAATAGCTATTATGCTAATTTGTTCATAGCTGTTAGCTCATATTAAGCGCTTTATTGTCAATTAGATTATTTTTTTTTAATTAAAAGAACTTTGATTGGTATGCTGTGCCTGTTGGCAATTAAATGCAATCCAAATAAAAATTACTGTTATAGAAACGAATTTATTATACTCATAAATTTCGGCTCGATCCAACCATTATCAATTTATTTGGAGTTTCCCAATTTTAAGGGTGAAGAAGTGATTTTTGTTTATACCATAAGAACAAATCGTTTAGCAAGTATAAATTTCAATAGTAATATTATAATCTAGATATTATCTACAAAATCATGCTTTACTTGTAACGCTATTGTGGTTTATAATAATATAAAGTTGACAATATTTACAATAACTTACGTATGTTAATGTGTTTTTGTATGTTTTGTTAAAGTAGTAACATCTACTCAGTGGCCCGAAACAAATAACAAAACAAAAAAACATGGTAAAACCCATATGTACTACCTACACAAGCTATGCGTGTACGCTAGGAGAAAAAATATATTTTAGTAATGTTAATTACAATTGAATTGATTTTTTAAAAAATACCCCATCGTGTTGGATTTGGCTGCGAAATTCCTTTTTATATATTTTATCTTATTTCACATTGATATAATATATGCTGCTTCGAAATTATAAATAAGTAGTTTATTGTGGGTATAGATATGAAGCAAATAAAGTACATCTTCGTAAATCTAATACCTAATTTTTTGCTCCTCATCCAAGCTAAAAAACAGAATATGTTTGTATGGTTGACAAAACCATAATATTGACAAAACACCCCAGATAACTAATTTTTTTAGATTGGTTGTTAACTAACCACTTATTTTCTATAATTTATATTTTATATTGAAAAAAAAGTACATCTTTTACTTTTACAAAACCCTAATAACATATTTTCTGAGCTAAAACTATCATGATAATTTTACTCTGAAAACATTCTTTTTTTGTATCACGACATAGGTCATCGAAATGATTAAGCTTGTTTAATGGTATTGAAAATGTTTTAAACAAATAATCAAAATACAAATTACATTTTTTATTTGAATGGCAAAAAAATAGTACGAAAATATATAATTAAAGCATCTAAACATCACACTAATGTACTAAATTTGTATGACCAGTTTTTAACAACTATTTTTAGTGTTATAAGATTTCAAAAGGTAGGATAAGAAGGGAAGTGCGCGCAGATAAAAATGTAAATACTAAACTGCACCTTTCCTAATTATTAGATGATTTTATAATTATACATTATAATGTAATTATCCGCTAATTCTTAAAGCACATCATTTTCAATAATTTTATATACAGAGTTATTCACAAAAAACCCATGTTGGGGGGGGGGGGGGTGTAAAAAAAAATGATGAAATATTAAGATTCTATTGCATAAAAACCTTATGTAAAATAAAAATAAAATTTCTTAATTAACTCAGTAGATTATTGAGCAATTGAGGATAAGGTATAACCACATAACATAATAATATAAATGATGTTATTTCACCCTTTTAGTCATAAAAATACATGCAGAACCCTTATAAGTTTAATCATTAATATAATATGCGTTCAACATGAGTTATGAAGTTTATTTTATCCGTATGTTCACACAAATTTTTAACGATTCATTTTCTTACATTATAATGTACATTATACAATACATTTTCAACTATTTCTATAATTTTATTTTCTAACTTTTCGAAAACTAGTTGTTTTTCACAAAAACTGTTGTAGTATAAATAATGACAACCAACTGTAGGTATCATACTCGTACATTATTAAGTTTTAACATTTCAAAAACTACTATTACAGAAATGATATAGTTTTTTTTCGTAAACAAGCTGGTTTTAAAAGTATTTTGTTTTGTTATTTGTGTACTTAAATGTTTAAACTATAATTTTTCTTCCATTGCACCATGTAATATAGTAAAACATTCGAAATACCAAAAAAAAAATTGAAAATACAAAGCTAAAATATCACAGCACCCAGTTATATTATAAAAATAGTTATAATTTAGGTTTTGTACATTATTGAATATCAATAAAAGTAGGAATTACAATTTTATTCGAAATGTATATTATTATACAATTATTCGAATATTCGAATGTTTAAAAATTATGTAATCTAATCCAAATTACATCACTATGGACATCTTGTTTTTCTAATTAACACATTTTATAATTATTGTGTTGGTACATTCAGAGATTCCTTTATTATCTAAAATGGAAATATAATATACGTTCAAACAAAAAACTTATTTTTCCCAAACAACAGAATAAAATCTATAAAATGTTTTACTGTATAGTATACACATAACTGTTCTTATTATGTAAAAACTTAAAAATGTAGGCCAACAGTTATCAGTCATTTGTTTACATTTCAACAGTCTGTTGTGTACTTTGTATGATTATTGAAACATCAAGATGCTACCGTGCAAGAAATAAAATGGGTCATACATTTCAATACAAAAACAACTGCAAAACAAAATATTTTAAGAAAAACAACTGATTTTCGGTAAAAAATAAGTAATAAAACTATACAAATTGTATTTATAGAATACGAAGATTCTTATAATATTCAAAGTTTGTGATACCTATAAGAACTTACCATTTGTTTACATTACAACAATCGCTGTAAAAAGCAGCTTAGTTTTGATAAAAAAAATAATAATACAATATTGGATTACAATTTAGACGATAAATGATTTTACAAAAACTTCTTGTAATAAGTTATAATTATAAGACATTTTCGAAAACGCAATACATTAACTGTATGTGAATTAAAAAAAAAAATAGGTACTCGCCACAAATATTATAACAATAACATTCTAAAATGCATTCAAACACAAGCATCAAAATAAAATTTGTTTCAAAAAAATTAAGTATATTATTTTATTAAAGTAATAACTAAAGAAGATTAAAAAATTAATCTAAAAATAACGTTTTTATGCGCCTTTAAAAGTATAAAATAACCCTCCGGGGGTCTTGATAACCAAATAGGACAGGTGAACTAGAAAAACGTGGGGCGCATCTTTCTACTTAGATATTAAAACCTAAGCTTTCATGCTAATGCATTAAGTTGTCTCTCTAACCCATAGGTTCCCAACCTTTTATGGACTACTGCCCCCTTTTCAAGAAAAAGAAATTCCAACGCCCCCTTTTCAAAAAAGTTATTTATTATAGTAATTTCATAGGTCTGTTTATACAAATACATAATACATGTTATGATAAAAAAAACATTTAATTCAGATGAAGACTGTGGAGCACTTCGTAGAAGCAAAAACAAGACAATTAATCGAAATTATTAGATAATAGAGAAATATAATGAAAAAAAGTCAATAAGAAATAAAAATATTAATGAGACGGTTGAGGTTGATGCAGATTTAACAATCTGTTAACGTCGGGTTTCATTTTAGTTAACACCAGTCGCAAATCTCCTCGCTCAGTGATTTGCAGTCTATTTCTTTTCTTAGATAGCAAATTAGCTACTGCACTAAAACCACGCTCAACCAAATATGATGAAGGAAATGCAATCAAAAATTTCTGTACTATTTCCCACAACCCAGGGTGAAGAGTTGATATTGATTTTTGGAGCCAGAACTCTTGGTATCCGTTTCTGAATTTCACTTTTAATTCTTCATTTGTTGTGAGTTCTATGAGTTCTTCTTCTAAATTTGATGATTCTGCTGTACCCGCATTTTCGAAAGGGTCTAAAATCCAGCTTGGTATACTCATATTTAAAATATCCTGGAAGCGCTCTGTAAAATCCACATGAAGAGCGCCCAGGTGTTGGCAGTAAGTCATTAAATCTTCTTTTCCTACCGATAATGCTGATAATGTCGGAAAATTGAGGAATTCACCTCTTCCTAGATTTCGTTTGAATAAAAGAAGTTTTCCCACAAAAGCAGCTATGACATTTTTGGTCTTTATCAAATTCAACTCATCACCTTGCAATTGTAAATTAACTTCATTAAATATTTTAAAAAGGTCTGTCATATAAGCTATGTCATTTTTGGACGCAATCAAATTTCCACGCAGTTCATCGTCTCTATTTTCAAGGAAGTCCAACACTGAGTGGAATAGATTGAAAAATCGATTGAGACAAACACCTTTCGATAGCCATCGTACTTCTGTGTGCAGCAACAAGCGGTTATAGTCTTCATCATTTTCACTACAAAGTTGCCCAAATAATCTGTCATTTAATGAATTGCTCCTTATCTTATTAACAGATCTAATAACGTAATGGAGCGACGTATGCAGGCGTTCATTAAGATTTTTTGCAACCAAGTGCTGACGATGTATAACACAATGTACAGCGAGTACATTTGGTACTGCTTGTTTTAAATGCGCAATGAAACCCTTATGACGTCCCGTCATTGCTGGAGCACCATCTGTAGCAACTGACAAAATATTTCTAATGGGAATTCCTTTTTCTTGAAAAAAAACATGCATGGTATTGAATATGGATTCTCCCTTTGTATCGGTTTCCAAATTTTTTGCAAATAATAACTCTTGGCAATTTTTTTCTTCTTTTATGAATCGGACGTAAGCCAAAAGTAGTGCTTCATTATTTGGTAATGTTGATTCATCGAGTTGAATGGAAAACTTGGAAGTCTGTAAGTACTCACATAATGATAGTTCAACGTCTTTAGCCATTTCATCGATTCTTCTTTGTACTGTATTATTACTCAAAGGAATTTTTTTGATGATATCTGATGGAGTCTTATGATGAAGGACAGTTTCAATTACCTCCTTGACTGCCGAGATTATTAATTCTTCACCAATTGTGTGTGGTTTTCCCGATTTTGCAATTAATAATGAAATATTATATGAAGCTCGTAATCCATCATTTTCTTGTTTAGAACACGATGCAAAAAGGTTCGATATAGTTGGCTGTTTTAAATATTTCTTTTCAAGTCCTTGAAAATAGGATAAATCTTTGTCCTTATCAGCATGAATTTTATTCAAGTGTTCTTGGAGTCTAGAAGGCTTCATGGCTTCATTTGAGAATACTTTCTGGCAAATTAAACACATTGGTAATAATTGGTTTGTGGGAGATTTCGTAAATCCATATTTTAAATATTCAATATTGTACTGACGACATTTTTTTTTAGTTTCAGACATTTTGTGAATTATAAAAAAATATAAAACTAAATATTATAACGGCTTCTTTACTTTATCAGTCCGCGTAAGAGTAGGTCACTGTCGAAGCGCACAAAAACAATAAGATAGTTGATAGTAGAAGACTAGAAAAGCTCTCCCTGCATTTTAATAAATAGATTTCGAACACGCAGCAACTTGTATGCGTTTGTTTGTTTGCGGTGCCGGTGCTTTTAACTTCAGAATTTATTTGATTGCGTAATCACGTCTTTGCTTAGCGTTTGCATAGACTTGTTACCGACAGCTTTAAAACGAATCAATAAGTTATCTAGTCTATATACCATTGACGCGGCCACACCGCGACTCAGACGGATGACGGGTGCTAACTACACCCGTCACCGCCGGATGGCGACCGCGTCCCCTGCTTGCCCAACTGTCCGTTAGGTCGCGCCCCGTTGGCGCCACCGCGGGCGGCGTGAACTGGGCCACGGCCGCCGCGGGCAACGACCACCGCCGCCGCCGCCGGGACACTTTTCGTTTTCACGGTCACGACGAACTATATTCATTTTTGTAGCCGTTTTTCCGACCACATTAATAAACTTGTTATAATTAATATTATTAGTAGTTTAACTTAAAAAACTAATCCACTCTTCTCCTTCGTTTACTACTCCACCACCATGCTTATCCGAATGTTTTTGATTTAACTTTAACCCTAGGTAAAATATTTTTCATAAAAATGGATAGGTATATTTTGAAAGTATTTTATTATATATTGAACTTCAAATCAAGTAGGTACACCGCGACCGCCCCCTTGACTGTCATAATACCCCCCATTTTTCTTTGGATCTGCTAGCGCCCCCACAAAGAGCTCCAACGCCCACAAGGGGCGATACCGCCCCCGTTGGGAACCTATGCTCTAACCGAACGGATCAGAAAGTGATAGTATGACTTTTTTTGGGAATGAAATTTAATGGATTTCCGTGCCACTTGCCTTAAATTTCATTGCAAATTGAAAAGACTTAATTGCTATTCTCTCCAAAGTTTGTTTTATGTAGGTTTCTTCAATTTTTAGTTAACTACCTACTTGCTTAACATTTAAAGTAATGTGGTGCTCAATTTTACATGACATGTCATTAAGTATTATTTTATTTAGAAGAGGAAAGATGATTGTGCATGAATTATGAGTTAAGGTAGTTATTAATGAGAAGAGAATGTTGTTATATACTCAGACGTGTAAAGTAGTAAAGATGCGCCCCACGTTTTTCTAGTTCATCTGTCCTATTTGGTTATCAAGACCCCGGAGGGTTATTTTATACTTTTAAAGGCGCATAAAAACGTTATTTTTAGATTAATTTTTTAATCTACTTTAATTATTTTGTTCTTTTTCGTTTTCGTACGTACGTATCTAAACATTTAAATGTACAATGTTATTGCTGCATGGTCAGAAGGATTATCATAAGAATTAGTAATCAATTTAAAAGCTTATAATTTTAAATTTATTACTGTATAAATTATCATAAAAGTTGAAATTAAGTTGTAATTACTATATAAATTATCATAAAAGTTGTAAGAAAATGCAAAAAAGTTTAATGATGGGAACGGGTTTGAACATGGTACCGCTCACATCCGAGCACCGTTCACGCCCAAACGCACCACGCATAATTTTTGCTGGCAGGTGAGAAATAAGTCTTTTTGAATTGCAAGATTCCCCCGGAACGACGGATAAGAAATCGACCCCATTTTAACCCCCTTAGGAGTGGAATTTTCTTGTGGATTAATAATGCATTGTCATCGAATTGTGAGCTATCCTGGAAGTTTCAGCCGGATAGCTAATCGGGAAGTGCTCGAAATTTGAGTTGCAAGATTCCACCCGGAACGACAAACAAGATTGTGAGTTCATAAAAACGTTATAAAAAAAAAATATTTTGTTTTATCATTTTTGTACCTAAATGTTTATACCATTTATTCTCTCGCGTTTTAGAACACTGATATTACAATAATTAAAAATATATTTTTTAATTTGCTATTATACTTATTATAAATTGCGAACATAATACTTTTTCTTAAACATCTTGAAATAATAAGCAAATGATTTTTACAGCGACTGGTGTAATGAAAACAAATGATTAATTCCTGTGGATATCACATACTTTAAAATCATAAAAATCTGCATAATTTTCAAAAACAGTTCTTATTTTTATTTTTTTTTTATTCAAATAACTTATTGTTTTTTTTTCAAAAACAAGTTATTAATCTTAACGTATTTTGTTTTGTGGTTTCTTTTTGGAATTTAACCTTTGAACTATTTTATTTCTGATCATTAATATTTTATGTATTCAACTTATTTAGCTAAAATGTCTTAATTGCACAAAACGATAAACGATACAATTTTTAAAACTGAACACAATATTTTCCCACAATTTGTATAGTTATATATTGTTAACTTTTTATTAAAAACTTGTTGTTTCTTACAATGACTATTGCAATGTAAATAAATGACAATCACCTTTATGCATCCTATACTTTTAGCGCAGTTTAAATCTTAAAACCGAATAATTTAGGTGAAATAAAAATTTTTAAGTAATTTTAATAGTATGACACTTTTTTGGGTTTGTTTTTAATAAAAAAAATATATTCATACATCTGTTTTTTTTTATATTGCTTAACCCTTGACAAGTTACTGTATGAGCCATAAAACACACTTAGCCACTTAATTTTTTTTTTTTTTTTGCGAATGAAAATACTTCCTTAATCTCCTGCTTGGCAGCTTTGCATTAATTCTAGAGAAATCTTTTATTATATGATAAATGTAGTAAATCAAATGGTTACTTAAGTCGTCTCTTGTCTTATGGTTTGCTCCGAGATAAATATGCACATAATTTTTATATTTCTCGCCCACAATATTCAATAATTCAGCCGTAGTAAGAGCATTTATCAGGCCTGAATGTTGGTTACTTTGTGCTACAAAATTGTTTATAGCCTGAAATCCATTGAAACGCATCATTAAAAATTATAGCCGGATATAACCTAACGTCTTAAGAGGTAGGTAAATTTAAGCGCTATAATATGAATTGTTCAAGTAACTTTTAATAAGTTTATATTTATATGTTATCTAGATGATTATATAGATAACATTCCATTTGAATGATGCACAACTCTGCTTTCAAAAACAAAACATACTACTCAATTCTAGGTAAAATTTCAAAAATTTACATACAACTTAATAAAAAAAAATACATATTAACCATATTTTTAATTTAAAAAAAAAAAGAAAATACAATTTACACGATGATAAGTAACCGTTTGATCAATTTACATGATTCTTACCAATTCATCGGCTGAAGGAGTTCCGAACGCAACAGTTTGAACCTAGAAATTTATAAAACACAAAACCAAAATGTACTTTAAACTCATACTCTGTTTTTTTTAATGTTCTTGAGCGAGTTTAAAATACGTGTTTAAAATTTAGTTTAAAAAGATAAAAGTGATTTTCTTATCTATTAGTAAGTTATATTTATAGTGCATTCTCAATAGATGTTAGCTCATATTAACCGCCTTATTGTAAAAGCTAGATTATTTTTTTAAAAATTAAAGAATTTCGATTGGTAATTGGTATCCTGTTAGCAATCCATTGCAATCCAAATAAAAATTGCTGTTATAAAAACGAATTTCCTATGCTCATTAATTTCGACTCGATCCAACTATTATCGAATTTTTTGGGGTTTTCCGATTTTAAGATTGAAGAAGTGGTTTTTGTTATACCACAAGGACAAATCATTTAGCAAGTAAACATTTCAATAGTAATATTATCCAGACATATCCAGATTGTAGATATTAACTACAATATCATGTTTTACTTGTAACGCTATTGCGTGGCTTATAATAATATAAAGTTGACAATATTTACAATTGTCTACGTATGTTAAAGTGTTTTTTTATGTGTATGTTTTGTTAAAGTATTAACATCTACTCAGTGGCCCGAAACAAACAACAAACAAAAAAACCTGTTAAATCGCATGTACTAACTACACAAGGTTTGCATATATGCTACGAGAAAAAATATGTTTTGAAAATGTTTAGTACAATTGAATTTATTTAAAAAAAATACCATATCGTGTTGTTGAATGGTTTTTGCCTAATAGTTTATACTTACTAGCATACCATTTTAGCCTTTTGTAAATGAGAAACTTTAGATCCAAGCTTGAGTTTCTACTGGTTGTATTCAAATAGTCACTTATTTTTCCGATTATTTCTGTAGGCTCTAATCTCAAAACATGTCATTGTGCCTAGTTGTCGGTGTACTCACCTATCGAGCAATGCGAACATAAATATTAATTTTATGGGCTACCGGATTTAAAAAAACCCGAAGATATTTATAAGAGGAAAAGTAACCATCCCGGTTGTATTTCAAATAATTACAAATAACAATTTTATATTTTCAACCCATATTTATTATATTTTATTAGTACATTACATTTTATAATTTCTTAAACGATTAAAAAATTAATATTTTATAATAACAGTAGCAACAAAAATAATAGCCCAACACAACGTATTGAATCATTGTCTCGGTCCTAAAAAATCTTCTACTGACACGCCCTTACTTTATTTAATTGATCTAAAACCACGAATGAATAATATTATAGATGTTAGGTGTTATAATCTATGCTAGGTTCATGGCCTAAGTATGTTTTTTGCGAATAAGTTAATCGAAAATAGAAAATTAACCAAAGTAACTTATTCAAAATTAATTTAATAATCATTATTTAATTTATTTAAAAAAATAAAATACTTAAGACACAAAGATGAATTTACTATACTATTTGATATACAGAGATATATCCTATACTATACTATTTATTATTAACAATGCATTACTTATTATTATTATTTAATAGCAAATTGCCTATTTCATGGTTTGCCTACATTTAGAATTGTGTAAAACCTTATTCGAATAATATTTCTAAAATTATACTTACAAAATTATGCGTTAATAAAAAAGTTAAAAATATTCTCTTATTGTCGTTCTCTTTTTGCCGCAAATGTAAAACAGGATATTCCCGAATATTTTATTATTTACAGTATCTAAAACAAACAATGAATAGGTAACACTATTGTTGTTGAGTCATTACAATGTATCCAGTATCCAGGAAAATGATTAAAGAACCATAGTTACACTACCCACCATACATTGGCCTTAAACATTAGAGTGAGAGTTACTTTATTAACTATCTACATAACACATTTTTTCTCTTTTACACTTGGCCAGAGTAACTTTTAACACCCAAATTGTAATTAAAAATAAAACCAACTTATTTGAAAAATAGTTAATAAAAATATTTTTTGACAGATAAAAGCTGTGGAATGTTGTTTGAGTAACGATTATTTAATTAGCAATATTTGGATTTTCTGATATGACTATGTTAACGTTCTCCATAGATACAACGTTTATTTTTAAAAACAATGTTTTATGTCGGAAAAAGGCATAAACTAAATTAAAATGATTGCTGTTGGCCTTTTTTATTACAAGTTAAAATCCAGTTAAGATAACCATAGTTATTACAACAAATAATGTAAAATTTAGCTGCGTAACTTTTGAATGTCTGTTCATAATGTATTAATAAGCAAACTCGTAAGTAGTTTCCCAAGAAAAATGTTGACAAAAGTCAGTTTTCAAATATGAATCGTTCTACTACTTTTTACATTTTCCGGCCTACAGTGATAAAATTTTGTCTTAGAATAATATTTATCAAGTTTTATATAAAAAAAAAGTAAAATGTATGTTTCATTTTTTTTTTTTCGAATGAAAATACTTCCTAAAATCTCCTGCCCCACAGCTTTGCATAAATTCTAGAGAAAGCTTTTATTATATGCTAAATGTAGTAAATTAAATGGTTACCTAACGCGGTCCTTGGCATTTCATTTTCTTTGAGATATTCATTCACATGATTTGTCTCTCCCAGAATTTCCAATAATTGAGCCACAGTAAGAGGAGTTCTCTGGCCTGAATTATTGTTACTACTTATTACAAAACGGTCTCTTGCTGAATCGTCTCTAAGCTGAAAAACATTGAAACACATCATTAAAAATTATAGCCGGGTATAACCCAAAGTCTTAAAAGGTAAGTAAATTTAAACGCTACAATTGTTATAAATATAATAAAAATTTTTCGAATAACTTTTAATATGTTTATATTTATTTGTTATCTAGATGATTATTTAGAGAACATTTTATTTGAATGATGCACAACTTTCCTTACAATAATAAAACATACAACGCAATTCTAGGTAAAATTTAAAACACCTTCTCGCTTTGCATCGAAGCTAATAATCTACATACAAAGGAAACTTAACGAAAAAAATCTAACCTAACCATATTTTTAATTTAAAAAAAAAATACAATTTATAAGAAGATAATAAACACGTATTTTAAACTACTTAAGAAGATTAAAAAAACAGAGTATGAATATAAAAATGATGTGTTTCAATGTTTTTCAGCTTAGAGACGATTCAGCAAGAGACCGTTTTGTAATAAGTAGTAACAATAATTCAGGCCAGAGAGCTCCTCTTACTGTGGCTCAATTATTGGAAATTCTGGGAGAGACAAATCATGTGAATGAATATCTCAGAGAAAATGAAATGCCAAGGACCGCGTTAGGTAACCATTTAATTTACTACATTTAGCATATAAACCTAACCGTTTATTCAGTTTGCATGATTCTTACCGCTTCTTGAACTGTGCGCATGTACGCAACAGTTTGACCCAAGAAATGTATAGTAAAACACAAAACCAAAATGTATTTTATATTCATACTCTGTTTTTTTAATCTTCTTGAGTAGTTTAAAATACGTGTTTAAAATTTAGTTTAAAAAGATAAAAGTGATTTTATTATCGATTGGTAAGTTATATTTATAGTGCATTCTCGAAGAATAACATGCTAATAATGTAAATAATATTTTATCAAACAACAGTATGTTATTAAATGTTTTAGTTTGCTTTAGAACGCTTTTGCTATTTTGAAACAATAATTAAGTGTAAAGTGAAGTAAAACATATTTTTATGCCGAATAAGTGTTTTGATAAAAAACATGTTTTATTATAATAACATATTTTTTAAGGTAAATAGTAGAACATTTTTCATAGAATAGGACAATCATCAAAACTATAATAACAAAATATATTGTTGTGTCAATTGTTTATTTAGATATTTATCAAGCATTAGCTATTATGCTAATGTGTTCACAGCTGTTATCGAATTTTTTGGGGTTTTCCGATTTTGAGGGTGAAGTAGTTTTTGTTTATACCATATTAAGAACAAATCATTTAGCAAAGTATACATTTCAATAGTAATATAATCTAGATATTATCTACAAAATCATGCTTTACTTGTAAAGCTATTGTGGCTTATAATAGTATAAAGGTGGACAATATTTACAATAACCTACATATGTACATAACAACCTTTGGTGTTTTTGTACCTACACGAGCTATGCACGTAAGCTACGAGAAAAAATATGTTTTGAAAATTCGTATTAAAATTGAATTTATTTAAAAAAAATAACATATCGTGTTGGATTTGGCTGCGAAATTCCTTTTTATGTATTTTATCTTAATTTACATTGATTTAATATGCTGCTTCGAAATTATAAATGAGTAGTTTATCATGGGTACAGATACGAAGCAAATAAAGTACATCATCGTAAATCTAATACCTAACTTTTTGCTCCTCATCAAAGCTGAAAACAGAATATGTTTTTATGATTCATACCATAACATTGACATAACATACTAGATGAAAAACTTTTTTAAATTTGGTTTTAATCAAACCTCATATTTTCTATAATTGATATAATATTGAAAAAATAGTATATCTCTTACTTTTATAAAACCCTAATAACATATTTTCTAAGCAAAAATAACATAATAATTGGATTTAACTCCAAAAATCATAATTTTTTTAATATCATAACATAGATTGTGGAAATGATTAAGCTTGATTAATAGTATAGAATCATTTTTAAACAAGTAATAAAAATAAAAATTAAATATTTTATTTAAATGGCACAAAAATAGTACGAAACTTAATAATTAAAGCCTTTAAATATGACACTAATGTGTTAAACGTCACCTAATGGCCTTTGATGTTCCGAGTATATACATATACAGGATATTAATTTTATCGTGTAAAACTCAATATCTCATAGGGTTTAATAAGAAATTAACTTTTATTTTTTCTTAATCTTTTTATACACATTGAGATTTCAATCAGAATGACACTATTAAGTTTTCATACTCAAGTAGGTGTCATTTTTGGTTTTTAATTTAATTTTTTTTGTCTGCTTTGGCATACATCCAAAAAAATCGAAAGCGTTACTAAAAAACCTAATGGAAATGTACCTTATAACGTGTTAAAAATAATTAATGTTCAGTAATTAATATTTAAAATACTGGAAAAAAATTTGATACAATTTTTAATAACTCAGCCCAACTAGAAATGTATTGTGCCCGTACATAAACCATGGTTTTCGTTGTACCTACTTTGTATGTTTGGGAAAGTCACTTATCATCTTAATTTATAGGTAGCACACAGTCCATCTTGTGTCCAACTTATTTTACTATTTGAACGGGTTGCTTTTAATAAAAAACATATTCATCAATGATTTTCTGACTTAAAGCTCGGTATAATAATAAATTTAACATTTTGATTTATTGTGCTAAAAAAATATCAGGAATATTTGACAATTATTTCTTGAAACGCTAAACAAAATTGTTTATTGCTAACGAATGTTTTATCCGGCACACGTGTTTTTTTAAAACATGCACGTTCTGTTATTTTTAAATAACATTGCCATTTGCGTCATGCTTTAGTAACACTATTTCTACAGGGTATTATTTCTTGGTGCTCACATGCATAGCTTTTGTAGGTAGTCTAGGCGGTACCGTGTTTTTTTGTTTCTTTATTTGTTCTTGACAATTGAGTACATAATAATACTTTGGTATAATATACATATTTAAAAACACCTTTACATACGTAGACTAGCGTAAAATATGGTGTCAACTTGTATGTTACGATAAACCACAATAGATTTACAAGACAAACATGACTAAACTTTTTGTAGACAATATCAATATTATATTACTATCGAAAATTATAGGCTTAACATGTATAGACTTTGTAGAGATTATGTAAAGATTTTTGTAATATTACAATTAGTATAAATGATTTATATATAATATTATTTTGTGCGTAAC